AATAAAAATGCCAAAGTTTAAATACAAAGAGAGAATCTTAAAAGCAGCTAGAGAAACACTGATAGTCACTTATAAGGGAACACTCATAAGACTGGCAGCTGATTTCTCAAAAGAAACTATACAGGACAGAAGGGCTTGGCACAAAATATTCGACAGAGTAAAGACCCAGGATCTACAACCAAGAATACTTTATCCAGCAAAGCTATCATTTAGAGTTGAAGGACAGATAAAGAGCTTCCCAGACAAAAATAAGCTAAAGGAAATTATCATCACCAAGCCAGTATTACAGGAAATGTTGGAGGGACCTATTTAAGTAGAAAAAACGTGTCAAAAACAGGAATAAAGACTGGTAATAACTACATTCCTGTCAACCTTAAATGGAAAAGAATTAAGTGCTCCTACCAAAAGATAGAGTGGCTGAATGGGTAAGAAAACAAAACCCCTACATGTGCTGCCTACAAGATACTCATTTCAGATTAAAAGACACAGACTAGAAGGAAGAGAATGGAAAAAGATATTGCCTTGATGGATTAGACGGTATTGCACTGAATGAAATGGGTCAGATAAAGACAAATTTCTCATGATTTCACCTACATGTGGAATCTAAGGAACAAAATCAACAACAACAAAAAAAGTGGAAATAAACTCATAGATACAGAGAATATTTTGAAGGATACTAGATGGGAGAGGGTTTGGGGAGGGGAAGAGCTCAAAGGGATTAAGAGGTACAAATGGATAGTTGCAGAATAGACATAGATATGTAGAGTGTAGCATGGGGAAGATGGTTAATAATGTAATAAATATGTAAAGGGGAAGAGGGGTACTAGATTTAGTGGAGTGATGAGTTAATGTAGATCTCTGATTACTATGCTATGCAACTAAAACATATTATTGTATGCCAACTATAATTGAAAACTTGAATTGTACAATGTAAATACAAATAACGAATTGTCTATTATATTTCAATAAAGATGGAAAAAACATCATATAACTTTTTCTGAAAATCTTTTTGAAGAGATATTAATAAATAGGTACTGGGTTACTGGCTCTACTTATGCTACATGAAAGTATCAAAACTCTTTAACACATCCTTGCCACTAAATGTAGTTAGGGCTAAGACTTATGTTGAAATAGTAAGTATATCCATTAATATTTTTCTCCTAGGATTGGTTTGATGGTAGTAATGTAATTGTATTATTTATAAAATTAATTTATTAATATATTCATGAAGAGATTAACATAAGGCCTTTAATAGCTTTCAGAATATTTTTCTTAAAAACTTTCCAGTGTTAATTCAAATTTTAACATGCCAATTCAGCATATGTTGCTATTTTTATTCTGTTACAGTATTAGTGTTGATACCTGGCAAAGTAAAATTTTTATTTCTTATTACAGCAGAATGGCCAAAGACGATGACGGGTCTCCCCAGCACATCAGGGACAACTGCCAGTGTGGTCATTATACGAGGCATGAAGATGTATGTAGCTCATGTGGGTGACTCAGGGGTGGTTCTTGGAATTCAGGATGACCCGAAGGACGATTTCGTCAGAGCTGTGGAAGTAACACAGGACCATAAGCCAGAACTCCCCAAGGAAAGAGAACGAATTGAAGGACTTGGTGGGAGGTAATCATTGTGCTGTTTTGTCTTTCCTCTCGGTTCCATTTAGTCCTTTTCTGCTTTAGTAAGGAGATTGACCTAATTCTCCCTTTTAATGAAGTGACTTTCTTGGTATCACAGGTTTTTAGTTTGCCTGAAAAGGTACCCATGTGCATTTATATTTATCTCATTATTTTGAATTGACTATTTTATTTCTGATAATGGCTCCAAAAAGAATAGCATTTTATAGTAAGACTCAAGGAACAACACATAGAAGGATTTATTGGAAACTTTTACATGAATACTGTTCAACATGACCTTGAGAATCTGAACAGAGCAGCCTTTAGAGTTCCAGAGTAGAACAGTTTGAATCTGGCTTTGGGAATAGAATTTTATTAGAATTAATCTTCAGCGTTTTTCTTTGATTTCTAGTCATATGTGCTGTACACCTTTCTTCTTTTCTTTGTGTCAACTTTATTATCTCAATATGTAGATAGTTTAACTAAAACTGACTTCATCATGATATTTTTATGCTAAAAACTAAAATATAAGATTGTTCTAAAAATCAAAGGAATGAATAATGAGAGTATTTAAAAATTATCCCAATACTAATTTGTAAAAATTGAATCTGAGACAAGTTAAATAGAATCCAGTGTTTTCTAAATAATCATTCTAACTAAAGCCTTACCATGATATTATTACTTTCCTCTCTTTTATTGAATCAGAACTGTCTTTTACAGAAAAGTAATAAACTAGAGAAAAGAATATTCTTAAACTCTAAGGAATTCAAACAAAATCACTAAGGAAAACACTAAAACACTGCCACCCCCACATAGAATAAAGGAGAGAAAGTTTGAAAAGCAACAACAAAAGTGCAAAAGTAATAAACATGACAAAATGTTTAATATTATTGAAATGAAACTCTATATTCTTCTATTGGGTTAGCAAAGATTAAAAACCAGAGAGGTAGTCTGGTTTTACTCTTTTTGTTGAAATGGATATCCTGGTGGTAAGATTATAAATTGGTATGACCTATATAGAATATAATACATATCAGTAGCTTTAAATGTTTAGAGACTCAATAATTTCAAGAACCTAAAGAAGAAGTCTGAAATGTGGACCAGAATATCTGAAAAGAGTTATTGATTGCAGCATGTTTAATGACTGTTAAAGACTGGAAATAACTTGAAGTCCCAACAGCTGGAAGATGGTTAAGTATACTATAATACATATTCATAACATTAAATATGTTATAACCATTAAAATGATGTTTATAGATAAATTTTTTAAAATTATGGTGTTATGAAAAGTTTCAAACGTAAGTCGAGTACTATAATGAACTCTCGTATAATGGAGAATTTTTAATAATAGGAGAATGCCTATTGGTCACAAAATAAGTAGGATATAAAATTATATTTATGGTGTAATCTCAACTGTGTAGAGAAATAAAAACAGGATAGGAATACACCAAATGTTAACAATTTTCTGAATAATGATTTACTTATACATCTACACATGCACACACTTTTTTAATGGTAGCTTTTGGCATAATGTAATAAATATGTAATGTGCTATAGAAGCATAAGATAATGTGCTATAGAAGGTTTCTAAATTCCTACTCTCCCACAGGGCCACCCAATTCCCCTCCACTTACAAGAAACCAGTATTATGTATATCCTTCAATAGAGAGATACTCATATACAGTCAAATATGAAACTGTTCCATGTATGGATATACCATCATTTATTTAACTAGTCTCTTGTCGAAAGATACTTTAATTTTTTTTTTGTTATTACAAATGCTATTGTAAAAAAAAATCCTGCACGTTTATCTTTTTGTACTGTGCAAGTATATTTGTAGGATCATTTCCTAGAAGTAGAATTGATGGGCCAAAGTGGAGTGTTTTGAATATTGATAAATATTTGTCTCTATGAGAGTTGTTATACTTCTTTTTTTTTTAAGTTTTTATACTTCTATCAGCAGTGTATGTGGATGCCCTTGTGTAGAACTTCTTGATCATATCCAAGTTTAAGTTTAAAAAAGGAATATCAATGATAATTTAATTTGAATTTATCTTATGAGAAAGATTGAATATCTTTGTATTTGTTTAAGAGCTATTTATGTTTCCTTTTCTTTGTATTCGTTTATATTGTTTCTTCATTTGGGGGAAAGGTTATTAACTTTTTTTTATTAATATGTTGGAGCCACATTAATTAGTCTAATGCATATGATGTGAGTTTCAGGCATTGTTTTCACAGTTTGTCTTTTGATTATGCTCCTGGAATTTTTTTCCCACATGGAAGTTTATTTTAATGTAGTTAAATTTGTCAGTCTCTTCTGTTATGATTTTTAATTTCTGTGCCATACGTACAGTTATCCCACTGATATTAAAAAGCCTTTATATTTTCTTCTAGTACAGCAGTTATAAATATTTTTGGTCTTACGAACTCTTTCCATTCTTAAAAATTGAGGACTTCAAAGAGCTTTATATATGTGTATATATATATATATAAATATATGTATACATATATAAAAATATATGTGGAGTATTGATTTTATCATCTTAGAATTAAAATGGACACATTTTCAATTATTTTTTAATTCATTGAACAATAACGGTGTTAGAACAACAGGTGTTGGCGAAGATGTGGAGAAAAGGGAACTCTCATACACTGTTGGTGGGATTGCAAATTGGAACAGCCACTATGGGAAACAGTCTCAAAAAATTAAAAATGGATATAACTTTTGACCCAGCAATTGAATTTCTGAGTATTTATCCAGAGAAAACCAAAACAATAATCCGTAAAGATCTATGCACCCCTATGTTCATGGCAGCACAATTTATGATAGCCAAGCCATGGAAGCAACCTAAATACCCATCAACAGATGATTGGATAAAGAAGTTATGGTTCATATATACAATGGAATATTATTTAGCCATTTAAAAAACAATGAAATCCTACCATTTGCAGTGACATGGATGGACCTTGAGGTTATTATGCTGAGTGAAATAAGTCAGATTTCACTTATATGTGGAATCTAAGGATCAGAAAGAACTAATCAGAAACAGACTCACAAATATAGAGGATAGTTTGGTGATGGCCAGCAAGGAGGAGGTTTGGGGGGCTGGGAGAATGGGGTGAAGAGTTAAAGAAGTACAAATTAGTTCATAGATGGTCACGGGGATGGAAATGCAGTTAGCATTAATGTGTAATGGGTAGGTGGAGAGCCAGAGAAGAGAAAGAGCAGTTAGTGGGATCATTTTATAAACTATGTAAATGTCTAACCAATATACTGTATACATGAAACTAATAAAGTTAAAAAAAAGTTAAACTCATAATGTATTAACATAAAGAATATTTTTTATGAAAAAAAAAATAGCTATTTTCCAAAACAAACGTTTAGTTAGAGGATTGGCATTGTTTTATATTTTTATAAGTCTCTTTAATGTCTGGCTGAATAGGTGACATCTAGATTCTCATATCTGTTTCTGCATTCAATCTGTTGTGATATGTTATTTTGGCTACAGTATCTGAAGTAAAATCTGGTCTTACATAGATATGTAGTTGGAAAAAGGAGTATTTTAATGGCTTTTCAATACGTTGGGGGTTATTCTTCGATACTATTTCAAAACTCAAGAAGTGGTAGTTTCTTAAAAGTTAATAGTGTCTAAAATCCTATCAGTGACCTTTTCATATTCTTAAATTAAGAGCCATAGGTATATCAATTAAGAGCCATTGGTTAAGTGATTTTTTTTTAATCCATACATTTTTAAAAATTAATAGACTTTATTTTTCAGAGCAATTTTAGGTTCACAGCAAAATGGAGTGGAAAGTACCAGAGAGTTCCCATATGCTTCCTGCCTTGTCCTACATGCACAGCCTTTCCCACTATCAACATCTTGTGCCAGAGTGGTGCATTTGACAGAATCTGTGACCCTACTTTGACAGATCATTATCACCCAAAGTCCATAGTTTACATTAGGTTTGCTCTTGGTGGTGTACATTCTAGGGTTTTGACAAATGTCTAATGACATGTATTTACTGTTATGTCATCATATAGAATAATTTCACTGTCCTAAAATGCTCTGTGTTCTGCCTATTTATCCCTTCCTACCTTACTCCTGGCAACCACTGGTCTTGTTATTGTTTACATAGTTTTGCCTTTTTCAAGATGTCATTTAGTTGGAAATCATGTAGTATATAGACCCATACATGATTTTGTGACATAGGCATTGGTCATTTGTAAAATGCTGGTTTGCTGAGTTATACAGATCATCCAAATATTAACACGTTTTATAATACACTAGCGTATCAAGTCATGTAACCTCTCAACTCCACTGTATATACATAGTCTTATTATGAAAATAATTTTGACTTTGCAGACCCCCTGAAAAGGTCTGGAGGACTCCCAGAGGCTCCTGAACCGTGTTTTGTGAGAACCATGTTTCTATTACTTGAATGGTTTCATCTTTTACATTTTAATCAATCTCTCTGGAATTTTAAAATCCAAGCTGTAGGCATACAAGTTATTTTTTTTTTCTCAATGACCACTAGTAACCACTTGAACAGTTATACATCTTTAATTACTGGGCATAAAATCTTTTACTGGGAAGATGATATTGAGTTTACCCTTTTCTAATACTGTTTCTCTGGTTAAGATAAATATGGAATGTCACCTCTGTTAAAAGGCAATATTGCTTATCGTAGAATGACCCTTGAGTGGAGCTGTATCTGGATAGGGAAGATTTCGAATGGACTATATTATAAATTTCTGTTGGGAAGCACAGATCTTAGTTGCCCTGTGTACATACATGCAGGTTGATTTGTATAGAGGCCAGGAAGTCAGGGCTATTACAAGACACTGATTCCTAAGGCATATGAAACTTAACCTGTAGCATGTGATGCTTACTAGGGGTGGGGGGGACTATAGCATGGCTCCTAGATTTTAAGGATCACTGCTGAAGACAGTATGACTGAAGCTGCTTGCTGTCATGCTGTGTTTCCTGTCCTGTATCCTACAAAGTTAAACGAGCCTGGTTTCATGCTACATATGGTATTTGATTCTATGAGTGTGATGGTCAGTCTGTATCTGAGACCACTGCTGGTAGTAATGCAAAGTGGGCTTTGTAATTATAAACTGAACTTTTGGATATATTTGGTTCTTTTTCTGGTCTTTTATTTTTTTATACTGTATGTTCATATACCAGTACCATACTTTTTTAAATTGAGGCTTTATTATAATTTTTAACATTGGTAGGCCTCATCCCTTCTCATTAATCTTATAAAAAATATTTTTGACTATTCTTGCTTTATTTTTCTATATGAAGTTTTAAATTATATTTTGATTTTAATAACTTAAATAGAGTTTATGTTTTTTGTCTTATCTCTTAAAATACCATCTGGATAGTTGGACAGATGCTCTTTGTCATTTGGGAGCAGGTGTCTTTCTGCACAAATTGAGCTGTTTTATTATAAGTTATTTCCTCCTGTCCCTCTGTGTCACCCTAGGCAGTTGGCCAGTGCTCTGTTTTTCCAGCCTTCTGTTGCTGCTCAGTCAGCTTTCTGCATATCAGGCTGTTTCTTTGTGTATGCCTCTGTGTGTGTGTGCCTGCATGTGCGTATGTAGTGTGTGCGTGTGTATGCCTTTTAATCATACAGGACAACAGCGAGGAGTGCAATAGAAGCAGCATTTTTTATAACATTGTTTTGTTTTTTTGATTCTGGATTTGTTTTAACTAGTGCCTCATAGGATTTAGTTGTTTTTTAATATTAAGTATCAGGAAGGCTCCTAGTAGTTATTATTGGAAGCAATTTGAGTAGCTTCTATAATTACTTAAGTATTAAATCTTATTTTTTTTAGGGAGCAGGTTTAGGAAAAGGACAATAGGGCTTAAGGTGTTATGAAGGCAGAATGTTGATGTCTCTTCCTGTAACTCTTATGTGTCATAGATGCTTCTGAATGGTACATTTACTCTTTACTCTCTAGTTTGCTTTTTGAGGATCAGCATTGAAGAAAGCATAATATAAGACTGCCTTTGATATTTTTACCCTTGTTATGACCTAGAATAATGTTGAACTGCGAATTAAGTGGTTCTTAAAAGGGATAGTAAATGAGCATCTCTCTTGAATTTCTCTTCTGTGTTAACATTGACAGCATTTTCAGATAATTCTGTACTTGCTTCATTCCTCCACTTGTGCTATCTGGTAGTCACCACTAGCTACATTTATTTAAATTTAAATATAAATTAAGTAAACAATTAAAAATTCAACTTCTCATTTGCACTAGCCACATTTACAGTGCTCAGTAGCCACACATGGCTAGTGGCTACTGTATTGGACAATGCAGAGTAAACATTTTCATCATTGCAGGAAGTTTCATGAAACAGCTGCTCAAATATCCTGGCCTGCCTTCATCAGACGAGATTGTTTTCTACTTTAGAAAGAAGATTGAGGCTATTCTCCTCCTATATTCATGGTTTTTTTGTTCCAACGAAGATTGTTTTTTTTCTCATTTATAAGGTTTATACCTTTATTTTGCTTTTCTTAAGACTTTTATTCCATTTGTTATTTCTTCTATTATCATCATTCCTTCGAGTTTTAGAGCAGAGATATAAAAGCCATAGATAGAGGTTAATCAGCTGGCTGTTGCTGAGGTGTACAGCATTTCAGTGACATTCATTTGGAGGTAGTCACCATTATTTGTCTTGTCTTCATTTTCCATATCTCGAAGCCAGTTTAGTTTTAATGTTTATCAAGTTTAGTGGGATAGAGTCATGCTACTCAAATTCAACATAACAAATTAATAAGAGACTCACATGTCAGGACATCAGGATGTCATAGTACTTGTTAATAATGAGAAAAGTAACTGACAAGAAGATCACATATTGTCAGCTGACCTGCTATAGATGAAATAAAATTTCAGATTATAATCAAAGGGTTTCTGGGTACACGTGGGACCTGAGTGAGAACACTTAGCTAGAATATCTTAATGCTATCTATCTTTGAGAGTCTTGGGAATCAACTTCTGTCTTACATGAATGTATCTGTCAGATGGACCTGTTATCAGGTACACTAATATTGTTTCTTGGAAATTCTATTTGTCCCTCTTTCCCCAAACTTTTCTAGCCTTCCAGAGGAACGTTTTTCTTCTCTTTTTTTTTTTTAATTTTTTAAAGCGGGCAGATTATGACTAAATTGATTTAAGGTTCGTTCAGCTTCCCATTTCAATCATACCAGGCACAGGTTGAGAGACTGTTTCTTGTTTTTTTATTATTATTACTTTATTTCCTCCAAGACTTGACCATATTTCCATGTTTTAGGCAACCTAGGATATACTAACTCCTCTGTATACTAATTACAGATTTCTGCTGCTCCTGTGCCAAATTTCTAGGACAGTTTTCTTAATCTGTTAACTCTTAAGCCTACATCTTTACAATTGTTTCCAAAGTCTAATCTCATACTTTTAATTACAGAAATACCTAAATACGTATTTTTATTGAAGCAGTGCCTATTAATTCCTCAAGTCAAAAATATTAAAACTGAAGTTCTGTTTTGAGTACCCTCAAATTTCTCAAAAACTTTGTATCTTTACTTCTCTCTCTCTCTCTCTCTATATATATATATATATTTTTTTTTGCGAGGCAACCCTTGGTTGACCTCACAGATTGCAAGGACCTTGTCAGATTACAATCCCTTATTTTTTTATTTTCATTTTTGTACCCCTACAGCACCTGGTCTTTCTAGGTGGTCTCCCATCCAAGTACTAACCGGACCCGACCCTACTTAGCTTCCGAGATCAGACAGGATCTGGCTTGTTCAGGGTGGCATGGCCGTAGACTGCTTTTCAATTTTTTAAATCATTATTTAATCCCTCTCTATTTATAACCTCTTTCTTCTTCCTCCCTCAATATTTCCAGTTATCTTGGTTTTTTTTTTGACATGATATCTCCTCATTTTTCTTCCATTACTTCCATTTCATTCTTTCTAGCCTACATCAGTAATTTCCAAATTCTCATCTTAATATACCCTATTTTGTTTTTCCTCTCTGAACAGGAACTTTGGCTTATACATCTTTGTATCTGAAACAGATGTCATTATTTTATGATAATACAATCTGATTTTATCAGTTATTTAACACATTGAGCTATGTTAGTTTTCATGTGTTAGTCATTTAGAGTATTTATTTGAACTCTGTTTCTTAGTGTCATGAACAAGTCTGGAGTGAATCGTGTAGTTTGGAAACGACCTCGGCTTACTCATAATGGACCTATTAGAAGGAGCACAGTTATTGACCAGATTCCTTTTCTGGCAGTTGCAAGAGCACTTGGTAAGTACAACTTAAATTTGGTGAAATCATATTGATTTTTCTATAATATATGATGGTAAAATAAAAGAGGAGATTGAGAATTAAACCCTCATTTAGTATATAATGGGCATGGAAATATGATGATATTATATCAAGTGCTGTAAAACCTAATTGAGGGGAAGATTGGAGTATGGATTTCCATGCCAGTTGCTCTTTGATCATGAGTCATGTTCAATGTTTTGCTAATTCCCATCTATACTTAGGGAAGTATGTGTATGCTTAGGCTTAATGTTACCCTTAAAACTATTTCTAAATGTCCTTCCCTACTTCAGCCCTTTATATTTCTCTTAAGAGTCTCCAGGGAGGGGGAAAATAAAAAAATAAAATGTTAAAAAATTATGTATATATAGTATGAAAAAAATAATAAACTGGCATTAAAGTACTAAAACAAGTCTCCAAAGCTCTTTTTTTTTTTAAGGTAGCAAAGTATATTGCCCATGACAAAATAAAAATAGTTATTTCCTGGCCTACCTGGTTTTGGAATGAAGGCAAGAAGGTTATAGCTATAGAAATATCTTACCTTGGATATGCTAGTAATTTTCTTCTAAAGAAAATTTCTCTTAGAAAGCACCAATTTTTTCCTTCTCTTCTTTCCTCTCACAAACACTTGAGTACTGACTTGGTTCCAGGCACTGTGTCATGCTTTGGTGAGATAATACAGATATACCCTGTCTGCCCCCATGGAGCAAGACTAGTTGGGGAGACAGGCAGTAAAGAAGTAAGCTTGTAAATGAAATAATTACAGATTAGGAAATACCATGAAAGAAAGAAACAGGGTCCTGTGTTAAACAATAATTTAAAAGGGAAAAACTAGTTTAGACAGTGTGATAGAAATGCTCCTTTAGGAAGGTTTTTTTAGGTGAGATTTGATGGCTGAGAAGGAGCTTATTCTTGTGAAGAATCTGTTGAAGAATAGTCCAGGCATGGATCCTGAATTGGGAAAGAGCTTGACATAGTCTGGGAATTATCGAAAGGTTAGAGTTAATGAGGCAGACCTGGGCAACACCATGGCAGATGTTTGCATTCCAATCTAAGTGTAATGGGAAGCATTGAAGGATATTAGGCTAAGGGCTAACATCTGATTTGCATTTTCAAAAGATCATTCTACATACTGCTATCTCTTGTTCATCTTGGGTGATCAAATGCATATATTCCCAATCTATAATCTAGGAGAGGAAATAGATAATAAGCAAACAAATGAATAAATTATTATTATTATTTTAGGGAGGCAACCCTTGGTTAACCTCACAGATTGCAAGGACCTTGTCAGCTTACAATCCCTTATTTTTCATTTTTTACGCCCACAGGACCTGGTCTTCCTAGGTGGTCTCCCATTCAAGTACTAACCAAGCCTGACCCTGCTTAGCTTCCAAGATCAGACGGGATCGGGCTTGTTCAGGGTGGCATGGCTATAGATGAGAAAATTATTTTAAAAAGTGTCATGAAGGAATTAAATAACATGATGCGACAGGAGGAATAGTGGACGGCAATGAAGGGCTACTTTATAGAGGACAATCAAGGAATATTCTTTAAGAAGGTGTTATTTGAGTAAGACCTGAAGGAGGAGTAGAGGTAAGGAAAATAACAGTCAAAGCAGAGCCACAGCATTTGCAAAGGCCATTAAGCAGTTAAGGATATTTGATAGGGGGAGGGATTAGGAAGTGTACAGCATATACTCTCTTCCTACTGAATAACATTCTGACTTTCTTTTGGGAAATTATATCTCTCCTACTGTGTGGAATTTTAGTTTAGACAGTCCTATTCAGGGTTCCTTTGTAAAACAAATGTCAGGCATATGGCTCCACCTAGATCAGCCAGATTCTCTATTCTGGATTTTGAACTATGAATTTAGTAAGGATGAAAATTTAAAACAGAAAAAACTGGTGAGAATGAATTCATCGTAGTGATATTGACCTCTTTCAGCAGTGTCCATTGCTAGGGTTGGGTTTTTCTGCCTAGTTGCATGGAAATGCCCTGTTTCCATTCCTCGTTCTCCAGCTTGTCTGTTGCATGAGCTACTTGATTTTCTTCTGAGTTGCCTTTTTGGTCTTTATTAATCTGAGCTAGAAATTGTTGTTTGCAAGCAAAGAATCCTAATGCAGGAAGGAAAGGGCTTGATTCTTTAAGGAATGGGAATGAAACCAGTGTAAGAGAGGAGGTAGAGATAAAGTAGAGGTAGAGATGAAGATACTTAACCGATTAAGAAGGGCCTTGTAGGCTAAGGTAAGGAATTAGGTGGAGACATTATGGATAGGAGGCAAGAACTAAATCCTATGAGGCTTTCTAGCCCATGGTAAGGAATTTTATTTTAAATGCTTTTGGGAAGGGATTAAAGAGTAGAGGTATACCATAGTAGTTAAGAGAGAGACTTTGGAGCCAAAATTCCTAGGTTCTAATCCCAGTGTCATTACTTAATGTATAAACTTGGGCAAATTACTTAATATATTGTGACACAGTTTTCAGCTATAAAGTGAGGCTAATAATAATGGTACCTGCCTCATACTGTTGTGAGTATTGGATGATTTAATACATGTAAAATGCTTAAAATAGTGCCTGGCACATATTAAGTGCTCTATAAATGTTAGCTATTTTTATTGTAATTTATTGAAGTAGGGCAGTAACATTGTCCAGTGTGTTTTTAAAGGATCATTTTGGCCACTATAATAGCTGAAATTATAGAGTAATAAGATTGGAGGCAAAGATACCATTTAGGGGCCTGTAGCAGCATTCAGGTCACTTTATGTATTTTATAGATTTTTGTAGAACTAGAAGGCTGTCAAAGTTACCCAAGTCATTTACTCATAGTATAAGTATATGATACAGTTGATCCTCCAATCAAGGAAAAAGAGGGGAGAAGGTGATAGTCAGCTGCTGTATACATTTCAAGTAGATGGATATTATTAAATAGAAGGGATTTTTTTTTTTTTATGGGAAAGCATCTCATTGGACTGTGAGGGCAAGGTCTTACTTCAGGTTCAAAAGTAAGGTGAACCTTCAATTTAAAAAAGTAGATGCCAAGTTATTTTGTATACATGAAGCGTGTGTGCCAAGCATTTCAAGTAGGCTTTGAAACCCTTAAGTGATTGTGTAGAGGAAGAGAAAGAACAGATGAAGGACTAGCAGAAGGAGCAGCATTATTAGATATTGCTCCATTTCTCTCCAAAGTGATTTTGCCAAGTTATTAAAATCCCACTGTATTAGTTGTCTGTTGCTCTCTAACAGAATACTCTAAAACTTAGCAGTTTAAAACATTTATTATCTCACATAGTTTCTGTGGCTCAGGAACCTGGGAGTGGCTCAGCTAGGTGTTTATGGCTCAGGGTCTCTCATGTGGTTGCAATCAAGATGTCAGTTACGGCTTTTGTGATCATCTGAAAACTTGCATGAGGTTGGACATTTACTTCTAGGTTGGCTTACTCACACTGCTCTTGGCAGGAGGCCTCAGTTCCTTGCCTTATAGGCCTCTTGGTAAGGCTGCTTGATGTGTCTTCATGAGATGGCAGCTGGCTTCCCCAGAATGAGTGATCCAGGGGAGAGTGAGATAATAGCCACAGTGTGTTTTTATGATCTAGTGTCATAATGACACATCATCACTTCCTCCAGGTTTTATTTGTTAGCACCGAGTCACTGAGTTTAGCCTAAACTTAAGTAGAGGGGAATTAAGCTCTGCCTCTTAAAAAAAGTATATAAGAATTTGTATACATATTTTTTTTTTTTTAAAGGTAAGTTTAGTCTACGGCCATGCCACCTTGAACAAACCCAATCTTGGAAGCTAAGCAGGGTTGGGCCTGGTTAGTACTTGGATGGGAGGCGACCTAGGAAGAACAGGTGCTGTAGGCGTAAAAACAAATTAAGAAAATAATAATTAATTAAAATAAAAATAGAAAAAGGCTTATAGAATAAAGATATGTATATATTTTTTAAAAGGTAAGTTTAAAACACTGTTGATAGGTCAGGTAAAAGGAAGACTGAGAAGTGACCATTGGGTTTAGCAATGTGGAAGCCATTGGTTACCATGACAAAGTATCTTTTGGTGGGTTAGTTAGACCACAGTCATTATTGGAATTGGTTCAAAAAAGAGCAAGGGAGGAAAATTTGATAGTTTAGGCACTCTTCCTAGGTGTTTTAGTATAAAGCGAAGGAGAGCAAGGGAAGAAGTAATAGCAGTTGATGAGAAAGACCCACTAGAACAGTGAAAACTCCATGTAGAAGATAAAAGATAATTGTTATAGTAATGTCCTACAACATTTTGACATAACTTTGTAAACAAATACATGGAAATAAATGAATTTTGATATAAAGAGATATGGGAGAGGTGAAATTTAGTAATGAAAAAATAGCTTGTTTTTTCTTGATTTAAATAATTTCTTTCACATTTTCTCCTCAAAAATACCTTTCAGATCTGAACATTTTTGCTAAAAAATGTTTTATTATATTTTTTCAGTCCTTATTCTGTCACTCAGGGAAAACTTTTTTAAAAAAAATAATGGTCCTAGTTTTGTTTTTTAAGTTTAACTTCTTGCATGATAATACTTAATGGTCCATGGTAAATTAAATGATACTATTTAACACCATTATTATTTATGACCATTTTTCTTCTAGTTTTTTGTGAAAGAAAGAAATGTACTTATAAAAATTGGTACCATTTAGTTGCTGATGACCATAATTACATGAATACAGATGTAGCAAAAGTGCCTTCTAGTGGCTGTCTGATGGAATTGTGTTTGAGTCTGAAGACAAAAGGGAAATGGCCATTGAGCAGGCAACCAACAAGGTCTGCCACAGTTTCCAAGAGCCTCTCCGATTCCTACTAATTTGATCTCAGGTGAAGCCATGTAGATTGCCTGAGCTGGAAGGATATGGGAATCTACATGGCTTTACTATATCATATGTTTCTAAATCTGGCTATAGATAGGAATCATCTTGTGAGTTTGTTAATTCAAATTCTTGTGCATTTTACTGGCAAATTGAAAGCAACTTGAGCATCAAAACAATACTAGCAGGTTTTCCGCACTACCCAGAGAGGGGCCCATATGGCATTGATCTTAGTTCCCACATAACTTAAAGGGAAACTTCCACAATGCCCGGAGCCCTTGATGTTCTGAAAATGAAAGAGGAGGATGTCCTCAAATTCCTTGCAGCAGTAACCCACTTGGATGGCACCAACCGTGACTTCCAAATGGAACAGTACATCCACAAAAGGAAAAGTGATGGCATCTACATTATAAATTTGAAGAGAACCTGGTAGAACCTTCTGCTGGCACCTTGTGCCATTGTTGCCATTGAAAACCCAGCTGATGTCATTGTCATATCATCCAGGAATACTGGCCAGCGAGCTGTGCTGAAGTTTGCTCCTGCCACTGGAGCCACTCCTGTTGCTGGGCCAATTTACTCCTGGAACCTTCACTAACCAGATCCAGGCAGCCTTACGGGAGCCGAGACTTCCAGTGGTTACTGATCCTAGGGCTAATCACCAGCCTTTCACAGAGGCATCTTATGTTAACCTGCCTACCATCGTCCTGTGTAACACAGGCTCTCCTCTGCACTATGTGGACATTGCTATCCCTTGCAACAACAACGGAGTTCACTCAGTAGGTCTGATGTGGATGCTGGCATGGGAAATTCTGTGCATGCCTGGTACCATCTCTTGTGAACGCTCATGGGAGGTCATGCCCGATCTCTGCTTCTACAGAGATCCTGAAGAGACTGAAAAGGAAAAGCAGGCTGCTGCTGAAAAGGCTGTGATGAAGGAGGAATTTCAGGGTGAATGGACTGCTCCAACTCCTGAGTTCACTGCTGCTCAACCTGAAGTTGCAGACTGGTCTGAAGGCATTCAGGTGTCCTCTGTCCCTGTTCAGCAGTTTCCTACTGAAGACTGGAGTGCTCAGTCCACTGAAGACTGGGCTGCAACCTCTACTGCTCAGTCTACTGAATGGTAGGAACAACTACTGAGTGATCTTAAGCTGTTCTTTCACAAACTCTTAAACCAAATGGAAATAAGGTTGATGAAAAATAAACCGTTTCTAAAAGTTAAAAAAAAAACAAAAACAGGAATAGGTTATAACGTTGAGAGAAAAAAGAATCCATGAGTCCATACTGATAACTAAAAGGATTATAAAGAAAGGAAATGGAAACTCTTCTAACATCAGTTTACAACCATCACAGTAACTATTGATTCGTGCAAGAATTATTAATAGATGCTAAAATGTGGCACATTTGGGTCGAGAACAGGACATTTCACACAGTCTCAAACTATCACCATACAGATTACTTATCAATTACAAAATGAAGGTCACCTTTACAGTGCTGGTAGACAGCACTTTAACCAAATGATTAAGCTTGGCATTTCTAATAATGACACATTGTGTCTCATCAGATGATAAACTGAGGAAGACACAGCTTTAGCAATTTAGTGTTCTGGCCCCCCAAAAAAGTTTAACCTGAACACAAACCCTTATATGTAGCATGAGAACACGAGGAAACAAGTCTAAATAAAGGTTCAGCCACTCTGCAAAACATCTGTCCTGGATTCTTCACAATTGTCAACGTCATGAATGACAAAAACAAAGAACCTAGAGAATTATTCTGGGTTAAAAAACAACTAAAAAAATGTGACAACTAGATGCAATGAATAATACTTAAGTGGATCCTGGATATTAAAAAAGCATTGGGACACCTGGGGAAGTTTGAATAGAGATTTTGTAATACACAGTACTGGATCAATATGAAATTTCCTGAATGTGGTTACGTAGAAGAACATTCTTATGCTTAGGAGATAAATGCTGAAATTTTAATATTTAGAGATAAAGTGTTTGATGTCTGCAACCTAATCTCAAATGGTTCTGCAAATAAAACCATCTCTATGCACAAATGGCATCATTAAATAGAAAATCCCAAAGAATCTCCAAAAAGCTGCTAGAATTAGTAACATACACAGTCAATCATATTTTTATGTACTAGAAATGAACAATCCATAATTGAAATTGAAAACAATTTATAACTACCCAAAACAAGAATACTTATATATAATTGTAATAAAATATGTTCAAGATCTGTATAGTGAAAACTAAAACACTGATGAAAGAGATCTAGACTTAAAAAAATAGAGATACACCATGTTCTTGGATTGCGAGATATATTATTCTTAAGATGGCATTTCTCTTCAAACAGATCTATAGGTTCAGTGCAGTCCCAATCAAAACCTAGAGTTTCAGAAATTTAAGCTAGATGAAATTCTGGAAATGTATTGAGGTTTAGTGAGAAAGAAGGAAATAGAGATTGGCAAGATACTGAGGACTAATGATTTAAGAGTTGTCAGTTAAAGAGTAATTATAAGCTTGAGAGGATGATTTTGCCAAAGTAGTGTATATATATGCTTGTGTGTATATAGATATAGATATCTCTAGAAGAATAATAGTTGTTTCCTGTATGGAGAACCGGGCAGGACAGGGATGGGAAAGATTTTTCACTGTATGCTTTTTTGTATCTTTTGGGTTTTGTACCATGTGAATGTATTACTACCTATTCAAGTAAACAACTTATTTTAAAATATTTTCAAATTTATGAAGATACTAATGTTAGCTTATATGTGAGAAACTGTAGTCCTTCTTCAAGGCTATATAATCTGCATTAGATTGAAAGTTGGAAATTCTTTTTTCACCGAGATTTTAGTTTAGACGTAATAGGGATTCTACTTTATATAAATTTATGTTCCTCCTTGGAATGACAACTTTAATCCCAAATAGTGAGAAGAAACTGCTTTTGAAAGTTTTTATCATTTATGAACTCTGTAATTTCTACCATAGTATTTATCTTAACTATTTCTATGTTCATTTTTAAAATTTCATCAACCAGGGAGCTTTATTTTACTCATATAAAGAGGTAAATGTGTCTGAATGAGCTAACCTAGGGTATAATTGGCTTTTCGTGGTAACGTGTTCTCTTTTGCTACTCTGAAGAATCAATTGCCCCTTTCAGGAGGCCGGTTTAGCAGTGAATTTTGCCCTTTTAGAGTGGAGTAATGGTTTGAATTATTCTTTCCTTGGACTCTAAGCATGTTTGAATTGGCTAGTATTTCTGATGGGAGGTAATGGAGAAGTTTAAATAAGGAAGGGAAAGGACAAAGAGCTTCATCTTGTTTAGGAAAAAGTCATACCCATTGAAAGGGGTCAACAGCTATTTACTTTCTTCTGCAAAAACCTTTGCTTTTAATTTAGGTCTTTCTCCAAAGTACTTTACAACAAACAAAAAAGGAAATTTATGTATTCTCCTTTCTGTCTCCTCCTTCCCCAGTTTTTGGGAGCAAAAGAAAGGTTTATATTGTACTACTTACTTTGACTTATGTATCACAGAAGAGTAGATGGTTTCTGTAAATTGCTTTTTCTTCTTTTTCACTTTTATTGATCTTTTTAATGGCTTGAGTCAACAAAAAGTATTCTGTTGAACTTTTTGAGGTTTATATCTAATAGGTCTAAAGGGCAGAAGTGTAGGCATTGTTTTATGTGGAGCTAATCAAGGAGGATAACTGTGTAAGAACTTTCTTTTTTCTGGCTTACTGAAAGTGTAAACTGTCTTTAAAGGTATAGTAGGTTATGTTTTGATGTAGATACTTTCTTGGTCTATTAACACAAGGTTTTCAAATAGTCATTAAGACGCTCCAGAGCAAGTTGTCCTGTCTTATCTTCACAATGATCTTGTTTAATCTTGGCCCTTTGTTCTTCCCTGTACAGTTTAGAATCAGCTTGTCAAATCCTACAAAAATCCTTTTGGGATTTGGATTTTAATTACATTGACTTTATAGGTTATTTTTGGAGGAATTAACATCTTTATAATATTAAGTCTTTATGAATACAGTTTATTCCTCCATTTAGTCTTTAGCATTTTGGAATGTGATTGTATAATCTTGTCCATAAAAGATTTAGATACATTTTATTACATTTATTTCTAAGTATCTTACATTTGGTTCACTGTAAATGGAATTGTTTAAAATTTTATAGTTTCTATTTCTTGCTATTGTATAAAGAATACAGTTAACTTATATGTATTGGGTTTGTATTTAACAACCTTGCTAGGTGTTTCTATTCTGATAATTTAATTTTTTTGGTTTCCCATGTAGAAATAAAATTATCTACAAATGCTGATGGTTTTATTTTTTTTCCTTTCCAATTCATATATCTTATTTATTTTTATTATCTTTCTGTGCTGGAAAGGCCCTCCAGTATAGTATTGGAAGAGAAGTGGTAGTAAAAGGCATACTTTTTTTCAGGTTAAGGAGTTAACCGTTTATCTCTAGTTTTCTAGGAAGTTTTTTTTAGTATCATGAATGGATTTTGAATGCCATCAAATACTTTTCTCTACCTATTGAATTGAACATGTAGATTTTTTCCTTTAATCTGTTGATGCGATACTACTATGCTTGGAAATAATACTTCTTTCTTTTGCTTCCTTGCCCCTAGGTGATTTGTGGAGCTATGATTTCTTCAGTGGTGAGTTTGTTGTGTCACCTGAACCAGACACAAGTGTCCACACTCTTGATCCCCAGAAGCACAAGTATATTATCTTGGGGAGTGATGGACTTTGGAATATGATTCCGCCTCAAGATGCCATCTCAATGTGCCAGGACCAAGAGGAGAAAAAGTACTTGATGGTGAGAAGTGACTCAATAATTTGATATTATTTGGTAATTTTGTTAGAGGCCTTGGATATGAAGTAAGGATGTTCACCTTAAGTAGATTTTTGCATTTGCCTGACTCTTGAAGTAAGTAAAACAAATTTAGCAGCTCATTAGGGGAATGAGACAGGAAATATATAAATGAAACTAGATAACAAAGCATAACTGCAGACTTTATTATGAACAGCCCTGACTTACTGGCCTATGAAACCTCACCAGTCCTTTTAAAATTCACATGCCATACAGTTTACCTTTTTATTTTTTTATTTTTTATTTTATTTTTTTAGGTGAGGCAACCCATGATTAACCTCACAGATTGCAAGGACCTTGTCAGCTTACAATCCATTACTTTTTTTTTTTAATTTGTATTTTTTACACCTACAGCACCTGGTCTTCCTAGATGATTTTTCATCCAAGTACTAACCAGGCCTGACCCTGCTTAGTTTCCGAGATCAGACGGGATCGGGCTTGTTCAGGGTGGCATGGCCGTGGACCAGTTTACCTTTTTAAAGCATATATTCTCAAAGTTGTGTAACCATCACCACTATCTAATTTCAGAACGTTTTCATCACACCCCCCAAACAAACCCTATAACCATTAGCAGTCATTCACTAGCTCCTGCTACCCCCATCCCCTGGCAATCACTAATCTTTCTGTCTCTATTTGCCTGTTTTGGATATTTCATATAAATGAGATCATACAATATGTGGTCTTTTGTTTCTGACTTCTTTCACTTGAGCATGTTTTCAGGGTTCATCCACGTTGCTTCTGTCTATACTTCTTTTTACAGCTGAATAATTTTTTCTTAATGGATATACAGCATTTTATTTATCCATTTATTTATCAGTTGATGGATATTTGAGTTGTTTCCACTTTTAGCTATTATGAATGACACTGCTGTGAACATTGATGTATAAGTTTTTGTGTGGATATGTTTTCAATTCTCTTAGGTGTATATCTAGGAATGAAATTGTTGGGTCACATGGTAACTATGTCACTTATCTTTTTTTTAGTCAATGTCAAACGTAGAAACAACCATCAATGAGAAAATCCTTTTCTTTCCTTTCTGATTTGCTTGAAAATTGATTTTCTCTTTATTCTGAGAAATGACAAAGTAAGGAGAATTAGAAGAGTGTAGCATTGTTGATGGCAAGGAAAGAGAGTTTTTTTGGATTTTTTTTTTGGAAAGAGTTTTGGGGTAGTAGTCAACAGTGTCAAATTCTGCAAAGAACTAGAGGAAGATGGATGAGAACAGTGTTTTGGGTTTTATAGTTAGGATCTTTTATTAGTGACCTTCAAGGATGAAGAGTCTCAGTTGATGCGATGAGGTCTTGAAAGGGATGTCGTAGTCTTAAGAGGAAGATTAACATTACAGAGAAATAAGGGATATTGATAGAATGAAAGTTTAGAGCACATGGAAATAACTGGAATCAGTGGCTCAAGGGGATAGGCAAGAGAAAAGACAAATATGACATATTAAAGTTTCATGTAACTTAAAAGGTTTAAAGTAGCTTGATGTAACTGGCAAAAGGGTTTTGAATGGTTTGTCATAAAGTTAGGTCTTTATAATCAGGTAGTAGTTATTGAAAAGCTGCATTTTAGAAGGCTTACCCATTTGTAGGGTATAATACAAAATAGAGGGTAAATGATAATGGATGTGAGGATTCTAATTATTTGGAGGTGTAGGAAAACCATCTAGCCCCTTAACAAAATTAAACTGATTCAGAGTTGGTGATGAAAAAGAATGGGTGGCAGCGATGGTTCATGAAGAATCCCCAAGAAAAGGTGAATTTTGATGAAGGTCTATTTCCACTTCTCTTAACATGTTGATTCTTATTGCCAGCATAACTGATTTGATTTTTAATAATGGATCTTTAGGCTTCCTCTTTGGAAGCTGCTGTTATATTCCAAATAAGACATTTTACCAGCATGATCTCTAAAATATGTCAGCACCATTAAAATTAACGACAATATATACACACAAGAACAAAAATACATGAGTAGTAGACTTGACAGATTTGGGTTTTTAAGGAGGAAGAATATGACACCCAAATTGCTTTCTTTTTTAGAGAATTGTGTTTATTAATGAAGTTTGGGCTATTCATTTAGAATCATCCAAAAGATTAAAATAATTTTGAAAGAAGCTAACAGTATAACAGTAGAAACAGATTAATTACTAATCCATAGTGGAAACCATGATCCACAAGTTTTTTTTTTCCAAACTGAAGACATGATAAAATAATGGTAGATTAAAAAAAGTTATACATTAACCATTGACTAGATGGTCAAATGAAATAAAGTTCCAGAATATCCTAATAACTTCAGTAAGAAAATTCAGTATGCTGTTTGTAGATTTTATCTACCTACGTACGTATGTACGTATATATATATATATATGTATTTGACACCCAAATTTCTGACGGGTGCCTAGTAGCTATTATCAAGAAGAAACACATTATTTAGGGGGAGAGGGGAGATAATTAGAGTTCAGATGTGGGTATGTTGAATTGGAGGTACCTGGGTTTCATCTAGATAGATATTTTGTGTGGTCGTTAGAAATATTTGAGAGAGAAGCCTGTAAATATTAATTTGAGTGCTAACGGGAGTTAGGTAAAGCTGTGACAATGTATGAGATCACCTAGTGAGCCTTTATGGTGGAAGAAAAGGACATGATGTTAGGTGGGCACAAATCAGCAGAAACCAAGCTGAGGGAGGGAAAATTTCAAGTAAGGTAGTGGAAATGACTTATATAGATTTATTTTCTCTATGGCTTTTCTGGGAAAGGAAATAGGCACACTGAAAAAGTGAAAGGTAAAGGAATCCTTGAGTGAGTTCTCATTGAGCTGTTGTTTGGAGAGTGATGAAAGATGTGCACTGGGGAATGTGATAGATTTATGAATTAGAAATTAGAGCTGCCTTTCATCAATTGTGAGGCGCATGTTTTTTTTGCATGAGAAGGGGGAAATGGCAGTGTTAAAAAAATCATTACAGAGTAATGATATCTTGGGAATGCAAGGATGACTTAATATTAAGGTTTTAAACAAAGTAACTGAGGAGAGTTATTTGCAGTTTGCCATCATCAATATGTTGGAATATGGTAGCATGCCTAAGATCAGACAGCCCCAAGAAAAGGTGATTCCCTATTTTTTGAAGGAAAGGATGGGGAAAAAAAAAGTTCTTTATCCAATTTGAATATATACATTTCAGGGATATAGATGACAGCCAAATGACTTATAATACATTATATATATATATATTTTAAAAGAATGCTTATAGTGTATATAGTACTGTGTAGTACATTATATAGCATATTATAATACATTAATATTTTTATATTTAGAGTATGATAATATATTTTATCACATTACATAAAACGACTAAATTTTCTTCCACTTGAAGTTCACTGTAGTTCACGATACATTTTTACATTTTTTTTCCTCAACCATTTCCACTCATTTTCATCAGCTATTTCTAGAGGTACTTTTAAAAACATGTAGCCCTGTTTTCTAGAGCACATTTTCATTTCTGTTCTCTGAAACTTAGCAATTATTGATTCCATGTGTGGTGCTGAAAGTTTTCTTATAAGCCACATTTATTGCATAACATGAGGTCATTGAAGTTTTTTTTTTTTTAACTCTATTGGTAGGTATTTGATCTCTATACCATAACTACTTATTGTGTTGCTTTTTTCCTCATATGAGTGACAGTGACCATTTTTATATATATGTTTTAGAGTCATTTATATTTCGTTGTCTCTGAATTTTGTTCATGTCCTTTGACAATTTTTAGTTTGGGTCATTGTTTTTGATTTGCAGAAGCTCTTATTTTAGGAGGAAATTGGCCCTTTGCAATGAGTTTTTTTCTCATGCTTGATTATCTCATTTGTGAAACTTTTTTATCTATACAATTAAAATTTTTTTTATCTATAAAAATACAGGTGAAATTAAACCACAGGATAAGGTCTTGTTTTATTATTTTTTAAAATTTAGAGTAGTATTATTTTAACATAGTTTTGGGCTCTGTGGATAATGTTGGAAATTTTGGACATTTAATTAATTTAGGCCATAAACACCTAATTTTTAATTCGATATAGGTGTAGTGGTGACATAATTTGAGTTGTTACCTTTCTTCTTTTTAAATACAGGGTGAGCATGGACAATCTTGTGCCAAAATGCTTGTGAATCGGGCACTAGGCCGCTGGAGGCAGCGTATGCTTCGAGCAGATAATACTAGTGCCATAGTAATCTGCATCTCTCCAGGAGTGGACAGTCAGGGAAATTTCACTGATGAAGATGAGCTCTATCTGAACCTGACTGACAGCCCTTCCTATAACAGTCAAGAAACCTGCATGACGACTACTTCCCCAAGTTCTACACCACCAGTCAAGGTATACAGTTCTATAGTATTTAAGTTGTTTCTATAGATTTTCTTTGGTTAGTGTTGCCTGAATACAGTTTTCAGATTCCTTATATAATAGGATTTTAGATTAGAACTAAGTTCAAGAAAGTGACGAATCTTTGTCGTGTAATTATCAGTGAGCCATCTTCACATTGGTCAGTACTCTTTTGAATCCCAGCTGTGTACAACATCTAATTGAGAGGCGACTAGATATGGTCCCTGAAGAATATTAATAACATTTGGAACTTAGTGATCCCCTTCTAACCCTATCAACATTTTAATCATTTAAAAGTTTGTGAAGCACTTTCATATATTTTTCATTTAAACCTTATAACCCAGAAAGGCAGATATCGCAGATGTTATTCCATTTTATAGATAATAAGATTCAGAGATTAAACAGTTCGAATAAGATCATACAGCTTCAAAACTGAACTGGACCTTAGGATATTAAGCCTTAGAATTGGTTGTCTCTTAACGTGGACAAGAAACTTCATTCCTATTTCTTGTCCATATTAATATTGAATGAGTTTAAGATATGCTTTGAAATTAATTGTACCATATTTTCCTTTTTCTGATTTCACTCCGTTTGTTTCCTACTAAAAATTAGTAGTATTAATAACTGCTTTGATATATTTGACCTTCTGAGAATGCTTTCAGAAGACTAACCGTTAAAATGGGAAATATGTCATTTGCTCAGGCAATTTTTTTAAGGTTTTCAAAGCTACACAGTACAAAGAATTTAATTAATTTTGGGTATTCCAATCCTGTGTTCAGTACTTGGAAATTTACTGCCCTGTTTTCTTTTACTTCACACACATACACACACACACACACACACACACACACACACACACACACACACACACACACACATATATGGAAACTTAATTTTTCTTACATGGATTTTTTATTTAGAAATTGGTATATTAATATCTTATATTTTCTTTAAAAATTTCTTGTCAAAGTTTTCTTTGAAAACCCTTGAATAATAATGCAGATTAATACCTTTTAAAGTCTCTTCTTTCTCTATTCAGAGTTGTGAAGGAGCTCTTGTTCATTTGAGTATTTGCCTATTTCTGAATTTGAATTTATTCATTACTGTAATGTTCCCTAATGTATTCGTATTTGAATAACTGACTTTAAGGCAGAATAGAGGAGGCACTAGGGTGGAGTTAAGGAGAGGGGACAGGATATTTTGATAGGAATAAATATTCTTAATATTGATCTCAAGTAAAAATTATTGCAGTCTGCTGATTGACATTAGTAAGATTGTACATGAATTGCACTTAAAATGTTTTAAAATTATTTCTAAAGTTCTGAGAAGTAATGATATAATAGTACTAAAGTAAAGATAAAGAGATTTATGTGTGCACTAATGTACATGTAGGCATGGTTGTGAAACAATTGGCTCTACCCAAATATGGGAAAATATTTAGAGCCCTTCAGAATAATTAGTATTGTTGGCTCTAACCTAACAAGTAAATAAAGGCTAATTAATTCTGCTTAAGAAATCGTGTTTATATCTTAATTGACTTAACTGTGAGTATCCCAATTATCTCTGATTTATTTCATTGTTATAGCAATCCCATGTTCAGTAACATCTAGATACATATAATGACATTTGGTTAATTTTGAATAGGTTTTAAGACTTACTCACATTTAGACTAGGCATTTGAAACTAGGTTTATCTGTCTATAGACTTGTCAGCTTCTGGTGAATCCTAATGTGAATCATAGTTAGATCTTTGTTTTGGAAAAGACAAAGTAGAAAATAACTCTGTTTAAGTGATATTACTATGGCACACATTTCTTTTTCTGTCCTTTGCTTGGGGCAAGACCTAAATTTAGCTGCTTTTTACAGGCCACAAGCTATAGGAAGGAGGAATTAGGAAGAGATATCTTTCAGAAAATTAATACAGTTTCAGTTGTTACCTAAGCACAATTTGTAATTAGTTGTTTAATGTTGGATCAATAGATGGAGCAACAAAGCAGTGAAACTTCTAAAGTATGTACTTTTAGGAGGTGATCTCTCAACATCACAAAAGCTTTATGAACATATAAGAAGGCTTAGCAGTACAAGTAATTAATCTGGGATGAACCTAAGAAACCCAAGCAGTTGCCTGTGCTAACAGATGCAATGTATTCCCACAGAATGCCAATAAAAAGAAAAGGAAAAGGAAAAAGTGGGGGAAGAAAAGCCAGCGCACCTGTAGTGTCAGAATAATAATCTGTGAATTTAAAAAGACACAGCACAACAGAAATTACAATAAATTGTGTTAACTCTGAAATTGTCCCATTGTTTTTTTTTTTATAAAAGAATTCCATCTAATGTCTAACTTTGTTATACAAACTAGAGCATTTTCCTATAAATGGCTTGATTAGTACCTTTTTCTTATTGTGCCTAAATTAGTGGCATGATTATTTGGTAGTATGTAGCCTTTTGTCTACAGAACTTAATCTGCTGCCTGGTCTTGTTGCAAATCCTTTTCGTGTTTTTAATGATACTCTTGGTCACCAATTACTTATGACTAGATATAGTTTTCTGTGATCAGCCAGAACATGCTTGTGACCAGGGTGGGCACTGTAATCAACCTAATGCAGAGAGATAAACTCACATATGACTCTTGTTGATATTGTTGAAATCCATATGTAAATATTCTAGAACAGAGACTGTCCTGTTATCCTGTCTCAACACTGGTACTTTGAATTAAGGTAGCTGCCCACCATCTAGTCAGTATTAAAAGAGATAAGAAGAATTGGGCTTTCAATAAACTATGCAGTGTAAACTAACTAACTAACTAAACCAATGATCCCAGAAAGAGTATATTCTTATTAAAAAAAAAAGAAGCAATCTATTTGAGGCAGTACCAAATTAGGAACTAGGGTTTCTTATTTCTAGTCTCCATTGGATCTAAGGTCAATATATTTTTTTCAATAAAGCATGTTTGTGTTTATGGTTAGATTGAAATGCTTTTAGATGGCTTCAATTTCCCTTTTAATTCTAGGAACATTAAAGGAAACTTTTATTAATATGCTTTTATATAGCACTTTTTTAAAAGGTGTTTATTCCTAGAGGATTTTATATCAGAAGAAGACCAGATAATATGTCCTTACCATTTCTATAAAAGGGTTTACTTAGCCTTTTTGGAATATATTAATATTTTAATAACTTATTAAAGTTATTAAGAGAAAATGATTGAGGGAAATGTTATATAGTTGGAGGAGAGTTACTATTTATGCTTAAACTCTGTCCTTGAGAAACTATTAAGACAATGATTTTATAAATTATTATTATTGTGGAAAATTGAGTTTGTAAGAATGTTCTTATCTGTCTGGAGATGGGAGGATATCCTGAGTATGAAGATCTAGAGCATTACAGCTAAAGGAGTGGTGCATATCAGAATCACCTGTGACACTTTTTTAAAAAACAATACTTGAAAGTTTCCATATGATTTTCATTTATTTCTTTGAGAATTATCCAGCCATATTCATATATCCTGCTTTTCTCAAATCACAGAACAGTGTCTAGCAAAGCAACGGCCTGTTTCCTTATGACATAGTTGCTTTAATATTGTACTTCACATTTTCCACACTACTAAATATTCAGAAATTAAACTATAGAAAATAGGAAATTTAAAAAACCCACCAAATTTGTCATTTAGTCTAATGAAACCCCACTTTCCCAATGTTTAAGCTGAATTCTTGGAAAAATTATTTCTTATTTGGTTTATCTTTTTGTTTTTCAGTTGCTGGAGGAGGACCCATGGCCAAAGCTGAACTCTAAGGACCATATACCTGCCCTTGTTCGTAGTAATGCCTTCTCAGAGAATTGTTTAGAAGTCCCAGCTGAGATAGCTCGAGGGAGTGTCCAGGCTGCAATCATACCTTCAAAAGATCCAGAACCACTCGAAGAAAATTGCACTAAAGCCCTGACTTTAAGGATACATGATTCTTTGAATAATAGCTTGTCAGTTGGGCTTGTGCCTACCAATTCAACAAACACCATCATGGACCAAAAAAATTTAAAGATTTCAACTCCAGGTCAAATGAAAGCCCAAGAAGTTGAAAGAACCCCTCCAGCAAACTTTAAAAGGACATTAGAAGAATCCAACTCTGGCCCTCTTATGAAGAGGTATAGACGAAATGGTTTAAGTCGAGGTAGTAGTACTCAGCCGGCAAGCCTCCCCACAACCTCACAGCGAAAGAACTCTGTTAAACTTACCATGCGACGCAGACTTAGGGGCCAGAAGAAAATTGGAAGTCCTTTACTTCACCAACATAGAAAAACTGTTTGTGTTTGCTGAACTATATTTGGAAAATGTTTTTTTTCCCCCAAATTTAGGATATGAAGGCTTTTTGAAGTTGGTGCCGAAGTTGAACTTTTTTTAAAGGGACAAAATAAAAATAGTATAGTTTGACTTTTTAGGATTCAGCAGTTTTATCCTGGACTTGTACTTCCTTGTATTATAAATGTGAATTTTATAGATGTTAGGGTATAAGTTGCTGTAAAATGTGTGTAAATTTGTATCCTTTACACAAACTCAGTGTCTGATACACAGTAAATGTAACAACAGGGCTAAAGGTTAAAAAAAATCAAAAGACTATTAGATTTTAGAAATACTTTTAAGCTTTTAAAAATGCTTAAATTTGTATAGTCACTTGTGATGAAAACTACACAACTTTTTAAAGTAAATTATTAAGCAAACTGGAAAAGTGATGTATTTTCATAGTGACCTGTGTTCCACTTAATGTTTCTTAGAGACAACTAGTGTCTTTTAAAAATTATTTTTTATTTCTAATTTCATAATTCAGAACTAAATTTTTCATAGAAGCAGAAGTGGTGAGCCATGCTCAAGTAGCTGGGTATTTAGTCTCCTTGTCCTAATTAAAATACTATGCAGTCTCTGATTTCTGTAACATTTTCCTAAAACATTAATCATCAGATATCCTCACCAAATCTTTGGAGTAGGAGGAGGTATATTTCCCTAAAAAGATGCCCTTCTTAATCATCCCAGACATTCAGTGGCATTACTAGGTCTTAAAGTAGTTACTCCCTCTAGTGTTTGCATAAAATCTGTGAAGTTTTTCTTGCTATTTCAATAATGGATGGTGCTGCTAATTCCCAACATTTCTTAAATTATTTTATATATCATACAGTTTTCATTGATTATATGGGTATATGTTTGTTCATCTAATAAATCAGTGAACTGTTCATGACATTGCTGGTTTTTGTTGGTTTTAATGATTTAAACTCGTGGCATGATCATGCTTTTACAGTAACAATTTAAAATACATGTAATGTTCATTTTTTCACTCGACTTTTAATTTAGAATACATCAAAACAGGCGAAATATCTAGGTCAGTTATGGCTTATGAGTGATGAAATAAGTAGTAATCGAAAATGAATAAAACTGTGTACTTTGGTAATATAGGAAAAAACTAAAAAGAACTAATACTAAAATGCTAAGAGTATGTCATTTTGGTGTGGTGAATTCGAGAAATTTGTAAAACTTATTAACTTATTAGAAACAAGACTGCTCATTGAGAGATCAAAGTGTTGATTCATACATTCAGCATTGATTATGCACCTATAAAACTATGTACTACACAATTGGAAGCATCTAATTTTTCATAAGAGGATTTATTGAGAATCAGTGGTCTGGGTAAAACATTAATTGTGGCTAGATTTTAAAGAGGATTTTAGGATACTGAGGAGTTTGTTTTTCAGATCTTTCCCAGATAGAGACATAGCAACTAGCAGACACTTTTGGAATCAATTTATTGTGAAGAGGTTTTTCATCTTTTAGTCCAGTGATACCATGTTAGTTACACCAAATAGGAATTCAAATCTGAATATATTAAAGAAAGGAAAATCCATTTAGTTACTTTTCACTTTTTCTGCCAGTGGTTGTAAAGACAATAGTCCTATACATGCAATTATAATTTCCATTTCATTAGAGTAAGGGATTAAGTAATCTCAATTTTTTCAATCACTTTTTAATGCAAAAATGCCACAGCATTCTTTCCTAGATCATATTTTTAGTGCAATAGAGTCCAATTGCATACCGTACTAATAGTTATCTAATACTGGAAACATTTTTATTTTTGAAACATATAACTGCAAATGCTAAAATTAGCTCTTTTCTGTATGTGTTCCCAGGGCTATGTTTAGGCCTGTTCTTTAAAGAGTTGATATTAACGCAATCACAATTGTTTTACTGTTTCTATTTTTATTTAAATTTTATTTGCTTTATGTAACAGATCAGTTGTATAATAAGTGATGGAAAATTCATGATGTATAAATTGGTACATAATGAAAAACCCACATCAGACCCCAAGGCAGCCATTTTGAAATCAATCCCCAGTTTGTATGTTCCTTCAGTGATAATCTATGCATGGACATGCAACTATAAAGTTTGTTTATCTCAATATTAAATCTTGAAGATTTTTCCATATCAGTACATCACAGAGCCCCTTTTTCCATATCAGTACATCACAGAGCCCCCTCATTCTTGAGTATTTTAGTCTGTGGATATAAGGTATTTAACTTTGCCATTCCTTAACTATGTCCACTAAAAGGAAAACACTATTCCTTTACTCACACAATACTGTGTTGCCAGATGTGTGGGTTTTCCTACACCAAGCAATTCAGTTTTCTGCGGACACCAACTGGGTGTCCTACAATTCAGTCATGACACTACCTGTAGTTATCAGATTTTACAAACTAAGGGCCCAGTCTCACAAGACTGCCCCCGTTTCAGACACCAATTGTAAGTCACAGATTGTCATATACACGTCTGACCAACTGGTGAAAAATCAGGGTTCCTACAGTCCCCTCCACAGGTTTGATAATTTGCTAGAACAGCTCACAGAACTCAGAAAACATTTTTACTGGTTTACTATATAATAAAGGATATAGATGAAAAGATATATCAAGGGAAGTCCAGAAGGGTCCTTGCTGCAGGAGCTTTTGTCCTCATAAATTTGGGGTGCATCACCCACCTGGCATGTGAATGTTTACCAACCTGAAAGTTCTCTGTGAACTCCATAGTTCAGGGATTTTTATGGAGGCTTCTTCATGTAGGCATAAATTATTAACTCAATTTTCAGCCTCTTTTCCCCCAAGGAGGATGGTGGTGAGGCTGAAAGTTCTACTTGTAGTCGTAGCTTGTTTTTTCTGCTGACCAGTCCCCATCCCGAAGCCATCCAGGAGCCCACCAAGAGTTGTTTCATAAGAAAAAAAGACTCTCCTATCAAGAAACTCCAAGGGATTTAGGAGCTCTGTGTCAGAAACAGGGGTCAATGACCAAAGACAAAAGATGCTCGTAGCACCTTTAATTGCCAAGGAAATTACAAAGGTTTTAGGAGCTGTAGCCAGGAGCCTGAGACAAAGACCAAAATCTATTTCTTATATCACATCCACACACATTCCTTTGAATATTTTGGAAGGCAGCTATGGGCACCACTATACCACCAACGCTCTTTTCAATATTTTGTAGAACAGATAATTCTTGATATATCTTATGCTTCAAAGATTAAAATAGGTATATAGTGCTATATAATAATACCTCAAAATTTATCAGCTTAAAACAAACATCTCCAGTTTGTGAATGTCAGGAATTGGATTGACTTAGCTAGGTTAGTCTCGTGGTTGTAGTCAGGATATCAATCAGGGCTACAGTCATCTGTAGGCTTCACTAGGGCTGGAGGACCTGCCTCCCACAACAATCACTTCAGTTTCTGGTCATATGTGTCCCACCATAGGACTTCTCACAAGATGTAGGTTAACTTACACCCAGAGCAAATGATACCAGAAAGAAAAAGGCAGAAACCACAATGTCTTTTGTAACCTAACCTCAAAAGTACCATGTAATCAATTCTGCCATATTTTATTAGTCACACAGAACATATCTGAAACAATAAAGGAGGCAACTAAGCAGGGCATGAATATTGGAGGTAGACATCATTATGGGCCATCTTGGAGGCAGTCCATCAAAATCTAGAAAGAATATAGGCTTTTCAGCATTGCTTTCATAAACCATATACTACGTTTGTTTTGGTAATAACAATAAAGTGTTATTTTCATCATCTTCCAGATTTCAGAAGATTGCTCTAATGCAGTGAGGAATTTTAAGTGTATTTTCCCCTAAATATATTATGTCACTAAGAAAAGTTGAAAACTTAAATTTTAACCTTTGAGGCAAAGTATTTTGGCAGTATGAATGGTTGCATTAGGGATTACATATACAAACTTATAGTCTACTCAAAATCAATATTTTACTACTTAAAGTAGAACATAGAACACTTACCGCAATATTACTCTCTCCTATTTATGTTACAGTTGTTTTATATATTACATCTATATATTTTGAAACCCCTTTGGGCAATGTTAGAATTTTTGCTATAATTTAAAATGAAACATTTTAAAGAACTCAAGAGACAGTCCATGATATTCACCTAGATATTTACCATTGCTATTGCTCTTCATTCCTGATACTCTAAGTTTCCTTCTTTTAGCACTTTAGAAAATATGTCACTTCCTCTGGCCTCCATGGTTTCTGATGAAACATCTGCACACATTCAAATCGGCTCTGCAGTTTTTCTCTGGAAACTTTCAGGATTTTTTGTCTTTAGTTTTCAGCAGTATAATTATGATGCAGGACAGGGTGGTGGTGAGGGAAGACCAAGCCCTGCACAGAGAGAAGAAAAGGGTCCTTTGGAGAAGAGTGTAGAAAGAATTCAACACACACACCAAAGTTAGATTCAAAAGGAAAGTTTATTAGAAAAAAGATAATACTCCACAGACAAGAGTGTGGTCTGCTCTGCTCTCAGAGGCAGAGTGAGAAAGACAAACAGTAAAGGCACTGAGAGGGACTCAGAGGAACAGACAATAGAGATGAGTACAGTGTGTGTGTGTGTGTGTGTGTGAGAGAGAGAGAGAGAATAAAGGCACTGAGTGGGCCCCTGAGTGTTCAGGGAATTCAGTTTATATGTCATTCTTTAGTTCCCATTTCCTTTGATATGGAGATACAGTGAGGAAGGGGAAGAGCATGTGGCTTGAAAAGGTAAGAATACTATGTAGAGTGAAAGGTCTGCTGCTGGCAGTTCCCAGCCTTTAATCTATAGGTTCCCCGTGGTTTTGGCTATAGGGAATGATTCTTGGTTGCTGTTTCCCTTTCATAGGTGTGGGGAATGGGTTGTTAGCAATCACAGCAGAAATCTTCCTTTGTTTTAAAGGTGTCCTGGCCTGGCTGCAGAGCTGATCAGCATATTGCAGTTTCTGAATGGAATTTGATTAATATTTTAATTTTCTTGCCTCCTCCCTACAGTAGTTATGATATGTCTACATATGGATTTCTTTGAGGTTTTCCTGCTTGGGGTTTGCTGAGTATTTTGAATCTGCAGGTTTATATCATTCACCAAACTTAAAAAATTTTGAGCTATTATTTCTGAAAATATTTTTCCAGCACCACGTTTTTCCTTCTTTTTTAAAACAATATTTTTCTTTTTGTTAGTGTTTTTGTTATATTTCTGAGTTCTAAAATTTCCATAGTTTCTTCTTTATATATTCTCTTTGTTGAGATTTTCTATTTTTCCATTCACATCAAGAGTGTTCACAACTGCTTGTAGGAGTATTTTTATAATATTGCCTTAAAGCGTTTGTCAGATAATCTGTGTCATTTATGTGTTGGTATTTGTTTTTTCCATGTGAATTGAGATTTTCCTGGCTCTTTATATACCGTGTAATTTTGGATTATATCCTAGACATTTCAATATTATGTTACGACACTCTGGGTCTTATTTAGCTCTTATGGAGAACGTTGATATTTTTGTTTTAATAGGCAATCAATCTGTTTAATTCATGCTGCATGTTCTAATCCACCTTTTGTGGGCTGTGGTTCCAGTGTCAGTTCATTTTCCAAAGACTCTGCCAGGGTGCAGTTTGATCTGTCTCTTGTATTTATTACTCAGTGGCTAGTTGGGAACCTGGGCACTGACCTACCTGCCAGTTAAGTTCTCAAAATCTTCAATATGCTGATTAGGATCAGATCCATGCTTAATTTAAGCTAGGGGGGTCACTTTCCTGAGCTTTTCCCTCTCTACAGTTTCCATGGTACTTTCCCTTTCCTTGAGGCTCCCCTTTTCAGTTCTCTGGGGAGAAAGTTGGGACTTTGGGAACCATGCATTTCCACCACTGTGTCTGCATTTGGGGCTAAATGGC